GTGCCCAAACTGCAACCCAAAACCCACTTATGCATCGTCGAGTGCCGGGTGGGTGTGGCCAATTGGGTGGGCGTGGCTGCGGTGGTAATGGCAGACTGGGTGGGACTAAAAAGTTCAATCAATCAATTTCAACTTTGCAAGATCTTTTTTTTTTCCTGCAAGAAGTTGAAATTGACTGATTGAAAGGTTTTTTTTGCACACGGCGGCAGAGGCCTAAAGCGAAAATGTTTTATAAAACCCAGCTGAAGGCCTAGGACTGGGGCGATGGCGCGCGTGCCCACTGAGTGCCGCCTCTGGCATCCGTGCCATAGATTCGCCACCACTGCCCTATATTTTAAATCTTTCATTTTCTATTTAAAAGCTTTGCTCATGGATACTGTGAATGCTGTTGGTCCTACTCCAACATATCAGTGTTTCAATTCAGGGAAAGAACTGAGAAGTCTGCCAAATGTGGGATGTCCCCATTCCTTAATGAGGATGAGCTGAGAGGAATGCAAAAAGTCTCAGCTCTTTTACTTGTACTGACAGGAAAGTGAATAGAATTAGGCCAGGGATTGATAGCATTTGCACCTTATCCAGCTCACGTTTCTAAATGGATGCTAAAAGAACAACACTATCCTGCTTTTTCCCCTGTCTGTTTGGATACATTGATATTATCCAAGTCATGCCCAAGCCTTTCACAGAGCTTAGTTTAGTTTTTCTTAATAAACTAGCAAAGTAGCTGAGNGGAAAGTGAATAGAATTAGGCCAGGGATTGATAGCATTTGCACCTTATCCAGCTCACGTTTCTAAATGGATGCTAAAAGAACAACACTATCCTGCTTTTTCCCCTGTCTGTTTGGATACATTGATATTATCCAAGTCATGCCCAAGCCTTTCACAGAGCTTAGTTTAGTTTTTCTTAATAAACTAGCAAAGTAGCTGAGGTTTTATAAACAGCTCTAGTTGTACTTTGTCTAGGCAGAATGAAGCTCTCTTTTAAAAGACTAAGGATTCCTCAGTGAAATCTGTGGTGTCATTTTTGTGAAATCTTAAAGGGTATGTTAGAGAGAGCTAACTAAATAGGCAAACATGAATTATTTTCTCCTTAAGAGACATAGTTTTGCAAGCAGTTTTATTTGTTGTGTTGCAGTTGTTTTATCCCAATTTCTGTAGATAACAGGGTTCAAGGTATCTGAGACCTGCAGGAAATGTAATGAAAACAAGGAAAGAGTTCCAATATTTTTGCTTAATGGATAGAGAAGATGGTGGCCATCCTTGCACTTAAATTGATTTACTCTTCTTTCAACTTGAGAAAAGAATCAAGTACTTGATTATAAATCTCAGTTGGCTATTTATGATAGCAATCATCCCTTCAGAACTGTTCTTTGCTATTTCCCTCTCTGCCTATTTTAACCACTTCATTTTCCTTCTTGATCTTCATTGTCCTTATTATTTCATTGGGGGTGTAGTAAAAAGTTAGGTAGATTTTCCCCTTCAGAGAATGAATGGATAAGAATGGGGGGAATGCACGTGCACACATGCACTCATACACACACACACAACATATCTAAGCCAACAGAAGACCATTTGGGGACTGGTAAATTAGATTAGCTTGTTTTCCATTTCCCCCACTTTTATTGAAATGGTAAGCATATATTTTTTAATGTGTTGATAATGAAAAATATGCAGTCACCTGAGGGTTTCTTCCCCAAAGGCCAGAAATGTGAATATTTTGTGTTAAATTAAAATATTTTGCTGTCTCCTTTATCTCCAGTTCCTGGAGATTTTGTTATCAATTACTAACATAGCTTGAGTAGGAAACAAAACTATTTTGCATAATGTTGTGAAGAAACAGATTATTTTAAAGTTAAGTATTTAAAATTGCTTTTCCAAATGTGTTTTCCATTAAGCCTGGACAGCTGTTCAGAAAGGCTGACTACGGAGATTTTTAGGAGATTTATCCTATATTTCTTATCCCCAGAAAAGAATGAATCTAGTATTCTGTTACATCTAAATGTATTGTCTATATTATTTATAATTTATATAGATATTTATAACTACCTTCGGTGCTGATTCTCTGCAGTTTATATCAATTTAAATAGTTAAAATTAAATAACCCACCGACTGTTTTAATTACATGATAGCCCTGGTTTGTATTATTTTTAAATGCTCCCTAGTAGTACACAAATGATGATTTCCTACTGCAGAACTCAGCTTGAATGGTACAGTAGAATTTCATTAGTTGGAGGAAGTAGCCAGAAGAGAGAGAATGAAATAAAATACATAGATATTTATTTATTTAGAATAATTATTTTTTAATCAGTTTAGTATAGTCAAAAGAGCACATGAATAAATCTGTACTATGGAATATTAGTGGATCTAGCTCTTCTTGAAGAGGTAGCATCTCCAGGGGCCCAAGTTCTCAATTCTCAGGAGGCAGAAGTTGCAAATTTTGTAGATAAATCTTTATTGACATTTATGTATTTATAAAAATTTTATGACCACTCAACTCACTCATGGTGACTCTGGGCAGCTTACAGAAATAAAACCCCAAATACAAAACACAATAACCGTCCCAATCTCTCCCCCACCCCCAATAACAATCAAAATGTTTGGAGGGCAACGGTGAGCCTCCAGTTCATCTTTTTCTCTAATCTCTCTTTCACAACATTTTCCTAGCCAAATTTCAAATATATACCAATCAGACCATAATGATGAATGAATATAGTATTATTATTTACACTACACATGTATGTGCTTGTTGCAAAAAAGTATCAAATGTGAAAGTCATTTCTCTATAGATATGTAGAATTATGTTACTTCGGAGACACATCCTTGTATAGATTCAGTATGTCAAAATGCATTATTTCAAACCCATCAGTGTTAATTCTCTACTATTACTTGTAACAAATTCTAGGATGTGGCATTGATTATTTTTTTCATGTATGGCATCCGCATCAACACATTTATTTGAGCTATGTATCCATCTGTGTTTCTAAACTTTTTCTAGCTTAATACCTAGTGCCAGCGAGGTGAAATACCATTTTATCTAGTGAATAATGACAATAGGTTTATGAGAATTCTTCCCAGTGTAATGTAAGGATTTAGTGCTGGCCTTGAACTAGGATGACTTGAATCTGCTGTGACAAGAATCTGCCTGGGTGGCCTTGGGCATGTCAGTGTCTTTCAGCCTAGTCATCTTCATAACATTGAAAAAATAAAACAACTTCATTTCCATGGAAGTAAGGCAGAGAAGTAACCTGCAGTTAGCTGGGTGATAAGTGGTCAAAGGTAGACAGTTCATGTAACAATTGAAATTACCTTTATCATATAAAAATAAGTTTCATATCTGGGTAATATTATCTGAAATCAAAGTGCATTTTATTTGTATGCAGAAGCTGCTTATTGAAGCAAAGGGAAGAAATTCTACAAGACTGGTTTATCTGGCTCTTCATTATCACAGAAAACTCATTTGTTTGAAATTGCAGTAATGTTCTTTGTAACATTCAATAAGGAAGCTTATTCGAAGACCTGTTTGCCTAAAGTGTTTTCATAAGTTCCAGTGTCTTCTGAATCAGAGAGGAATCATTTTCTTTCTTTGCCTCTTGTCCTACCCAAATGACTCAGGGAAACAGTTTTTTTAGTAGAACGGGTCTTATCTGAAGTTAGTGCATAATAAGTGTGTGCAAAGAACTATCAAGAATTTTTAGAGGATTTGATGTAAAATGCTATCAATTATTTCTGTTTATATTGAACTTTCCTAAAACGTGCTATAGTTTAGATACCTGAAGTAAAAACTCTATTATTTTAGCATTTCAGAAATAATTTTCTCAGAATTGGAAGAACTTTGAAGGTGAAAAATAAGATCATAATAATAGCGAGGATGAAATAAATACAAAGGAAATGATCTTAGGTTGATTTTCCATAGTTAAGTATTTATTACTTTTAATTTCTTATTATTATAGTTGTAGTATTTATACAATCTCTAATATGTATAGAACATCTAGTCTGCACTTTAACTTGAAAAAAATATTTTGGGTGAAAATTGTGTTTTTAATCTCTTAAAGTTTAAGAAACAAAGATATAGAGTTTGGTAAGGTAATCTTTGTTCATAGCAAAGATTTGAACAACTAAGGATGTAAAAAGTCCATTTAAGAATAAGAAGTGTCCCAATATAATTTTTCCATTTTTTCCAGATTAGCAAACTATTCAGTGTATGTGTGTGCGCGCGCGTGTGTTTCAGTGTGGGTCTTCTTCCACTCCTGTTGCTTACAAAATAAAAACAATTGGTTTGAATAAGCTCTTGTGTAACATAATGGGTTTACCTTGTCTGAGGCACATGTCTTTAGTCTTTAATAACTTCTGCATGGCATTCAAGAATTTGAGAAAAATTGGGAGTTCAAGAGAAGCAGCATTCACCCAGTGTTTGTCTGGCCCCAATCTTGTGTTTTCAAAAAGCCTACTTTTTCATGAGGCTATGGGTCAGGTGATTTGCAACCCAACTTTTTGATCTATATTTTTGATGATGAGTTGTTTCCTTAAGGTGGTCCTTAGCAGTCCTACTGTTCTTATTTTTTTCTCTTCATTACTTCTCTCTCTCTTGTTCTTTTTAAAATTCTAAATATTATATTTTGTAAGCCACCTAGAGTTGCAACTGTAGTTGAGATGGCCTATAAGTTGACTGACTAAACAAATAAAGAGTCACATTTGTAATATGTACAGTTCTAGTTCATAGTATATTACCATAGAAGCAGTGATGATGAGTGGAAGAACAGAATCATTTATCATTTTTTCTTTTTCTAATTAACTGAACACTTTTCAGATTAGGTACTGAAATACAAATCTAGGCTTGCTGTTGTCATCCTGCTACTTTTTACAGAAAGAACAGTGGAAGACTATGAACTAGTCTTAATGAGCATTTCCAACATTCCTTGTAATTATTATATACCTTTTAGTTTTTTCCCCTCTCCCTTAAAGCATCTTAACAGCCATTCTTCTGCTGGTTCCTTCTCTTGCAGAAGATGCTGGTAAAGCAGCAGGACCGTCTGGAAGAGCGTGAACAAGACATTGAGGAGCAGCTGTACAAGTTGGAATCTGACAAGCGCCTGGTTGAAGTAATTCTAATTTACGTAAAGATAAAATCAAGAAGAATTCTGTTCATCTATCAAGAAAGTGCTCTTGATAGGGGAATTTCCAGTGGAGGTTTAGTCTTTGGAATCTCTACCAAATAAATGGCATACTCATATATTATTGTTCCTCCGTGCATGGAACAATTAGAGAATTTCCACCAGAAGCATTAATTCACTATAGCTCTTTAATGTTAATTATATTATTCCTATATGTCTTATTATGATATGCATGAACATTGGAAACCACTAATATAGAGGTATTTTCCATACCTTAGACCCTTTTTCTTAAGTGCCTGCCTTCCAGTGCAGCTTCCTCTCTCGATACGAATAATACACTGAATATGAGAAATAAAACAATTTTATTTTACTTCAGCCTCAAACTTCAGCTGATTGTTAGATGGGAAAATTGTCTTTCTAGCAGATTTGCCTGAGATAGTAGAGGAGCTGGGACTAAGGGGGTGCATTGATATACAACAGTGTGTCTGTGAAAAAGCTCTATTCACTGATCTAGGATTAATTTGGCCTGATCTTGATCAAGGACCAAAAGCAAAAATTATTTTCTTGTAGATGATGTTTTACAACTGCGATGTGCCATTTGCTAAGATGTGCACCCTCGCCACTCTGTTGAATTCACATCTTGAAGTAACTCTATTCTTTTAGCATTTATATAGGCCAATAGAACAACGCAAATGAAATGTGTAAAAAATGAGAGTGAAAATTGCCTAGAATAAATTTTCTGAATTCAGCATTACCAACACTATCCATTATGAGTGACGTAGTAAATAAATAAGAGAGGTCATTAACTTTGGGCACTCTTCTTTCTCTGTATCAATAGGAGAAGGTGAGCCAGCTGAAGGATGAGGTGCGCCTACAGTATGAGAAGATGCATCAGATACTTGATGAGGACCTGCGCAAAACAATGGAGATCCTTGACAAGGCCCAAGCCAAATTCTGCAATGAGAATGCTGCCCAGGTGCTGCATTTGAGCGAACGCATGCAGGAGGCCAAGAAACTGCTAAGCTCTGTTCAGGTCATGTATGACAAGACAGAAGACATCAACTTCATGAAGGTGAAAAGTGCGATGTGTTTGGAGTAGGAGAGATCTGGGTTGAGCACTTAGAATAAAAGGATTCAGAGTTTTTAAACAGTCACTTCAAGCCAGTACTGGGTGCATTAAGCTCAAAAGTTGTAACTTCATTTCTAATCTGTCTCCCATCCTGACAATAGAAATTCCTTTATTCTCCCCTCTCTTCATTATAACCTTTTGAGCTTGCATATGCTTTCTCCATCTTTTTGCATTTATTTTTCTCAAGTTACCCTGATGAATCCTCCATATTTACCTGGCGAAACTATATTATTTTAGATTTGATTAACTTTCTGTAGTTTTACTGACTTGTTTGTTTCATTATTTATGGCTTTTTTCTTTAATAATTGTGAAGCTTCTGCAGCAACACACAAAGATATTGTGGAAAGAAAGAATGAAAGAATATATGTTCCTCTAGAAAAGAGTGTGCAATTATTATTCCATTTCCCTGTTTGATATAGAAATGCAGTCGCTGTTTCTGCATGTTTAAATGCTGCTTTGCCCACAAAGGATGAGAATGCCCCCCCAAAGGTTTATAGAACTAATAAGAGAAGTAGAACAAAATTTGATAGAAAAATTCTGGACTATAGTAGGACAGGTCTTTCCTCTCAACTCTCATTAATAGATTTAAACATTCAGTATTCCAAACTAATGCTAAGATCCATACAGTTTCTGCATATGAAGAATTAGCAGTGTCAAAATTTAACAGTGGGAATTAAAGTTACTAAGAATTGAAAATTAGCCCATGTAGAAAATTATTTTATCTTTCATTTTACCATATAGGATACCACGGGGACATTCAAATGTGTGGTTAATCTTACCACTTGGCAAGGAGATAGAATTGATCAAGGACTTAATCAGTGATAAATGTTAAACTTGGATAGTTTGGTAGCATAATATTTTTTTAAAGTTCCTTCTTTCTTGTGTATAGATATCTATGAACAAAATATATGTTCTAGTTTTAAGTAGAGCAGAAGACTTAAATTGGACAAGTGCTAAACTATTTTATGTAGGATATTCTCAGCCAAAAGTATGCTGAATATACAGCAGAAAAGGTCATAATATAACAATTTTCAATGATTTAGGATGTTTCATCATCTCTTGACCTAATCTACCTCACATTATTATTTGGTAAAATGGTTTCCTAAATTACACTGTCCCGAGCTGCCTAAAAGAACTAGTTACCAGGGATATATGAATATCAGCAATATTACTCGTACTCTTGATTACATATAGCACAACAATCTTGTTGAATCTCTGGTTGCCCATTTATGGCCCCACAATTTCTCCTTCCTAAATAGATAAGATTGAAATTTTACTCAGTTACAACAGCAATGGGTACACTGTTGTGGAAGGGCCAGATTGAGGATGGATCTTCCTGGAGAAAATCTATGTAGTCACCAAGAGTTAACACTAACTTGATGGCACAAAATGACTATTTCTCTTTCAAATCCCTCTAAACCCTAAAACTCATACAAAATTCAAACCTATCTATTCTTATAATATTGCAGCATCAGCTATCACGTTTCATGCAGCTCTTAGACAGGATAGAAAGTTCTAATTCTGCCCACGGACAGAGATGGATTTAGATGGATATTTCAAATAACATTCCTTTAAAATAAGTTCGGGGATTCTATTGACTGCTTTTTTAAAATAGCTACATATCTGGTGTCCAAGAGATGTGTTGGGCTAGAAGTCCCAGCTGTGACAAATTCTGGGAGTTTTAGCACTACGTCTCAAAGGATATCAGGTTGAGGAAAGTTGCCTTAAGGATTAAGGCAAAGATAACAATATTATTACCTGCCATAAAAGAAATTGTAGTTAAAATAAAATAAAACTATTATAATTTTGGTCAAGTGGCCCAAGGGCAGAATTCAACCAACAACTTTTAGGTTTATGTATTTGGATTTAAGATTCAAATGTTTTTACCAGCTTATTTAAGATCAAGGATTTCCCTTGGGGTTGGAGATGCCCAGTCAACCCCCTTATTGGTTCCTAAATGTAGCCTTCTTAGGTCATACAACAGATGAATGAGTAAAAATATTACTTCAGACCTCAAATTCTGGATAAGGTTCCACTCAGCATTCTTGTCTAAAAATCTTTTCATGTATACCAAATGGCCTAATACTCAGTTTAGGAAGTTTCTTCACCTCATGAATATTAATGTCTCTATTAAAAAGAGGCTTCCTTGTAAATCTCAATAATTGATTGGCAAGAAATTTACATTCTACTAGAATATCTCATTAAATGGGTTGATACATCATATTGCACTTCCCAAACCAGACTACTAGAAGAATGGCAGAATGTGATTTTAAAAAATTATATGCCAGAATGTGAGGTTATTCTCAGCATTATTAATGTTCGGTAGATGCATGAAGCCAAGTTAGTGTGGTGAAATGAAAGCAATAGTGGTAATCTTGTGCTCTAAAATCCTGAGTCTATCTGTCATATACTACAACTAAAATGATAAAGACTAGACTCAATATAGTGCAGTAGATAAGGTTATTGGGGTTTCATCTAACTCAAAATATTTGCTTAGTAACTTCTGCTAGTTGTTTCAGAGAGAAGATTATTTGTAAGATTAATTAAATTTGTAAAATTAAAAAAGCTCTCTTGTTTTCATTGTTATAATCCAGGAGATTTTAGCAAATCTATCTAAAACCAAGAAGCTTTGTGTAAACTACTAGTATTTTTTGCAATTACCCTAAGGTATATTGTACACCACCGATTGAACTTGAATAGCTGATTCCATACCGATCCCATATATGTCAGTTACAACAGAGAAATGAAGGGGTATTGGTAGAAGCATAATGTAATACTGTATACCGGGGGGGGGGGGGGGAAAGTGGTAATATAGTACTTCAGAATGCTCTACATAATATTCTCATGAACTTTACAACAACCCTGAAAATCAATCCAGATTATCTTTTCTGAGAAGAAAAAATTGCTATCTACCTTGACAGAATTCATAATGGTGGTCACTAGATTCCAGAGTTTCAGCAGAAGTCATTCTTGTTAACTGAGAAACTTTGGAAAATGCAGAGAGTGAATCTGATAATATGCAAAACATACGACTCTTATGAGTCATGATACTTATCAAGTAGTTTGGTTATAGATAGTTGGGAATGAATTTAATAAATTTATATAATCAGTGGGAACACTCTAGATATCTGCAGAATTGGGAAAACGGAAGTTTATGTGCCATCAGAGGTCTATATGATTGACAACTACTGATTGTATTTCTTTATTCTTTCCTAGAATACAAAGTCGGTGAAGATCTTGATGGATAGGTAAGGAATCTATTGGCGGCAATTTGGGATTGCATGATAGAGGATGGTTTGAAATGCAGGAAATCCAGATAACCATCTGAGTAGCTGTAAAGATAACATTAACAAAACTGATTTCTTTCCTAGGGTCGCCGCCATTATTATAACCATGAGTTATTGTTGCACTGTAATGGAACTCTGTTGTCTAGTTTACTGAGAATATAAGAAAATATAGGAATATAAGAAAATGACAACTATATTTCTCAAACATGAGAAATACAAGTTTTGCCTTCTGCATTGATGGAACTAAGTTATGGGTTTTGGGGGGGTTGTGCTTTAGTTTCTGCTGTACCCTTGTGTTACTTGGGTCCACTTAAATCAGAGCCAAAAAAAAGGTGCTTTGAATTATGCCCTGTATCTGCAAAACCAGAGAATCTCATAAATAAACTGTTCTCTGTTAGTAGTGACAGAAACATGTAAGAAAAAATATTAGTTTAGATGGTGTTTGGCAGTTGAGAACGCCATTTTCTTAAAAAGACCTGGGAAATCTTAAATTTACAGAATTGTTTTACAAGAAAAAAAGATATGTGGAGGAGAGAAAGTTCTTCTTAGGTATATAAGGGTGGGGGGGAGTTTGCCAGAATCCACTGGGAGAGAAATTTTTGAACCATTGAGGCTTCCCTCAAATTAGCAGAAGGATGGAGCTTTAACAAGAGGCACTGTGGATATTTTTCCAGCTGGCTTTCGTTAAAAAAAATACATTGTAATAGATTGTAATGCTCGTTTTAAGGACTCAGAACTGCACAGGAGGCAGTCTGCCCCCTCCTAAGATTGGCCACCTCAATTCCAAGCTCTTCCTGAATGAGATTGCCAAGAAGGAAAAACAATTGCGGAAGCTCCTGGAAGGTGAGTGATGCTTCCCATGACTTTTCATCATTTATATATTCACTACTGAATTTCCATTTGCATGAATTGGGGACAGAGTGTCTTTTCAGCTTATTTTTGAAAATTGGAAACCACAGGAAACAGGGTAACGGAAGTGTGACATCATATATGTGAGCAGACCTTTTTTGGTTTGGGGGTATTGTTGGATTGAGTTTTACATCTCTTCCCCTAGGAATAAGTAAGAGTTTGCACACCATGTTCACAGATTTGCTTTTATATTTCAAGGAAATAATCCCCGGAGAATCTGGGTTTTTATAGAATAGGGATTTTAAATCAGCCAATGACTTAATAGCTGGCCATCAGCACCCTAATCAACAACTAAAAAGCCACACACAACCAAGCACCACATAAATATTATACATTGAATAGCCCAAAGTGCATATTCTACTACAGCAGGGGTGTCAAACTGCCGGCCCACGGGCCAGACACGTCACAAGGAAACCGCGCCCATCCCATTGCCGGCAATGGGGGAAAAGTTCCAATACGTCGTGCGACGTCACGTGATCGACTCAGATTGGGTCCCGATCTTAAATCTGTACATGGTTTTTCAACTATCTATTTTGGGGGGGAAATTAACATTTTACTTTTGTGTTATTTCTTTTAATTTGTCTTGACATTCATTACAGTGAGCTGCTTTTTTAATTGGCAATTTAATTTATTTTTATTTTAAAGGGTTAGAGGATTGTGGCATGGATGTGATACAAAATGATTTTCTTCCCACAATATTTTCACTGTATATTGTTAGTCCCGGATCTGCTAAGATTAAGATAAACTTTAGAAACAGAAGACATTCTGATTGTTTTTAACACAGAGGTCTTAACATTAATGGAAAAATAACTCAATCTGATGAGTTATAACCTCAATCCTTCCAATTGTTGTTAGACTCCCAGCTCTCACAATTTACCATTTTGATTGGTAAATTGGTAATCCAAAAGCTTTGCAAGGGCCATAGAATTCCTACTCTGTCCTGTAGAGCATGGCCTTAATGCAGGAAAGAAGTTAAAGAAGTACAGTCTCTTTTATTTAAGATATAGTCCAATAACTGCTATAATGCTGACCCCCCTCGGTAATTCTGTAACAACCAATGTGATTTTTATTATTATTTATCAGGTACCTGGGGGTGAGGAGGCTGCTATTTTCACCAGTTGTAGTTTGGTTATATTCAGTTAACACTTGGAATGGCTGTTAATGGGTTAAAATTTATGAGACAAGGGCTGAAAAAGGGGTTATAAATGTGTTGCCCCTAGGCTCTAGAATGTTGATATGGATGGCATATCTATGCTACAAAAATGATAAATGGTCAAATGTTTTAAGATTTCAACATTTATATATTGAATCTTAAAAAATTTCAAGTGAAAATGATCAAATCCTATGAGATTTCAGTATTCTCGTTAGATTTCATCTAATTATACTGATCAGTGATGTCTGCATTACTGCATGAGATCATGCTATGGTGACTGAAAAGGTTACCAATTCCTAATTTATATTTGCGAATGATAATTTTATAGTCTCTATTTATATGGGAATATTTGTATATCAGAATATTTCCATGAGATGACATTAGATAGCAAATGTGCTGAGTGTAATATGAAATGTTATATAGTCTCTCCAAATATATTTTCATAGAGATAATTCATTAGAAAATGACAGTATATTACCTCCAAAATTCTTTCTAAACCACTCAACCCATTAATGTTAAATAATAATAATATATCTTGCCACAATTGCAGACTTCCTGATTATTTATGCACATTATTATTACATGGACATATAATAACATGGCCCTTTCTTTGAACAAAGCAAAGAGTTGAGAACTGCATATGTGAATCTGATAGAAGTCAGTTGGAAGGGTGACACGGAAGTATGATTTGCAATTTCTTTTATTCTATTTTTAATATAGGTCTTACTATTGTTCTGTGTTTTATATTTTGTATTCTGTTATGACCTAATAGTTAATCAATAAAATGTTACTATGTATTATCTGAGAGTTATTTTATGTTAGCTTAATATTGTTCTGAAATTATAATCATATTGAAAAGAGATACCTTCTTTACTTACTGACTCTGCCCAATCCATTAGTTATGTAATAATAGAATTTCTATACATTTTAGGTAAGACCATATTATCAAAGATTTCCATTGAGGCCAAAATCTGTGTGTTTTATGTATCCAAAGCTACCTTTTACCATTACTAGTAAATGATTCATGCTCAAATGATTATGGGCTATAGAATCAACAGTTGGGCTAAATGCAATGTATATTACTCATAAAGGACAATTTCCAGGCATTTGGGGCATCTTGAGGTTCTTCATAAAATGTTCGTTTCCATTTCTGCTTCCATTTTTATATATGCTGGATAATATTTGAAGAGTGCACCATGCATGAAAACCTAATCTTCAGAAGATGAAAATATATCAAAAATGCATTTTCTCTGAGTTTCCTGGCCTTCAGTGAACTATTTCTTGCTGGAATCATATAAATAGTGTTTGCTTGTTAATGTGTACGTGTCCTAGATTACATACTTCTGGCAAAAGTGCACAGTGTAGTATTTCCTATTTAACCTAATAGGACATTTTTTTTATTCATAAGTCTCCAAATGGTACATGTTAAGTTGAAATTGTTTGATATTTTAGTGAATAAGAAGCTGCCGCAGATCAGATTATTTATTTTCACCACATAATCATTAGTCACTTAATCTGATTGAGAAAAGATAAGTAGAAAAATAAGCTAGAAATAATGAGCAACAAGTTGTAGGTAATACAAGAGTCAAATTTGGCTGCTCCATGAATAGAATACTGGCTCAATGATAGGAAGTTCCTCAAGGTTCCAAAATTGTGTGTTGCAAGGATGAGACTGGACGATTGGAAAAGCATTTTACATTCATCTGTTGTTGGGGAAATTACTATGAGAATGTACCCTAGCCTTTTCAGGATTAAAAGCCCTCATTCCATTTTATCTTGATATAAGTGAAGAAATTAATACATTGGAAAGCATAAACCTTTGAGCCCATTGTTCTGGGTTCCAGAAATCCAGTTTCTGCCTCAAAATTATATTTGACTTTGTTATGCGTATTGGAAAACACTGCATGTTAACACCATCTTCAGGGTCTTTCCTGCAGATTATAGATAACAACATTTAGTGAAAAATATTTCCTCTTTCTATTTGTTCATTATAAGAACTGAAGGCCAGCAGACATCTCCATCTAAATCAGGGGTAGTCAACCTTGGCTCTTTTATGACTCGTGGACTTCAACTCCCAGAATTCCTGAGCCAGCACAGCTGGCTCAGGAATTCTGGGAGTTGAAGTCCACGAGTCATAAAAGAGCCAAGGTTGACTACCCCTGAATTCTAAATGGAGGAGGGGCCCCTAGAATTACTTTTGTGGAAAGTATAAAAGGAATAGCTGGAATAATCGGGTTCTTTTCCTAGTTTCTATTAGTTTTGAGATCATGTCTGTCTTTGGCATTATCTGCCAGAGTTGATTATATTACCAGCAAATATATGGATCTGTGAAGCTATAGTAATCACTCACCTGAAAAAGGAGCGTGACATTTAATGGAGATGTCACCAATTTTCTCTGTTTCATTTCAGGTCCCTTCAGTACCCCTGTGCCATTCCTGCAGAGCATCCCTATGTACCCCTGCAGCGTCAGTAACTCAGGAGCCGAGAAACGCAAGCACTCCACAGCTTTCCCAGAAGCCAGCTTCTTGGAGCCATCCTCGGGACCCGTTGCCAACCAGTACGTCAGCCAGGGGGCTTCGGCTGGTGAAGGCCAGTCTGCACAACCCATGGTGCCTTGTAGCTCCACGCAGCACATAGTGGGACTCCCCAGTGGCCCCCAACCAGTTCACTCCAGCTCCATGTTCAATCCTTCTCACTATCCCAACAGCACATCATCTCAGCAGTCCGTGCTGTCTCAGTATGGTGGGCGCAAAATTCTTGTCTGCTCAGTGGACAACTGTTACTGTTCCTCCGTATCTAATCACAGTGGGCATCAGCCCTATCCACGATCCGGCCACTTTCCATGGACAGTGTCATCACAGGAATATTCCCACCCACTCCCACCTGCTCCATCTGTACCTCAGTCGCTTCCAGGATTGGCAGTGAGAGAATGGATTGATGCATCTCAGCAACATGGACGCCAGGATTTCTATAGAGTTTATGGTCAGCCTTCCACCAAACACTATGTCACCAGTTAACCATCTGGTCTTGGTAAAATCCTGTTGATTTTTGAATTTTTTTAATCTAGTTTTTGTTGTTTTAAATCAAATTCATTTCCATCTATCCCTAGCACATGCCAGATTCAGAGTGGGGCATTGTTGTCATCTATTATTTCTAATTTAATTCTTTAAAATTCCTTTCTTTGTATCAGGTTGGGGATGGGAAACTGATGGGAAAAATTAACAAGAATTTCAGTCAAGTATTTGCTTTGGATCATGTGACATGCTACTTTCCTGAGGGGAAAGCTTAAAGGGACAGATGATCCTTTTTATTTCAAAGTCTGGGCTCTTTGGTTTTCTTTTTAATTATTTTTTCCTTCCCATTTTTAAGACAAATTTCTATCATTGATTCATTAAGAAATGACACTTGTAGAGGTTTTTTTAAGGCTGATTTTTTTTGTGTGTTAAAAGGCCACGTATCGTACATATTGGCATTTTTTTCTTCTTTCAGAGATTTGTAAATACACAATGGCAGGAAATGAAATGCACAAAAAAGGGAAAAGAAACTTAAAAAAAAAATTAAAAATCTGTTTTAGTTTCCAGGAGGGAAGTGTGTGCCTAAGTACACACATGGCTTCCTGTGTTTTGTTGATGCAACTTCCTCTAACAAGCACTTTGTATTAAAAAAAAAGGACTTCCTGTTATAAGATGCAGGTATTTATTCTGTAACCAATTTTAGAACACACACACAAAATATTCAAATAAATGTGATCACTTAGTGCAATGCCTGGTTCTGGTTTGCCTGTGTGGGCATTACTGTACCCAACTGTGTCTGACAATAAGGATATGTTGCTCAGAAAGGAATCCGATAGCCTTTAAAAAATAGATCACACTCTTCTTTGTCTATGCATTCCCTTGGGAATAACTCTAAATAGATACTCAGTAATGGGGTAAACATTGAAAAAATGGGTTGAACTACAGTATCTGGCAGTATCCTATTTCTTATTCAGTGAAATAGGAATGTCATTTCTTTTTGGATGTAATGAAAACATATGGACCAAACATGAATCATAACAGTAGTTCAGAATAAAAAAATACATATAATGTATGGGTGCTATAATTAAGAATGATATGCACATTGCATAATGGTCAGATTTTGCTTCTTATTTGCTAAAACCTGGTTAAAATCTAAAAATGTGAGATTTGCAAATTAAGAAAGATATGGTCATATTAATTTGATAATCAATGCAGTGCCATATTTTGTTTCTTGGGGGTATCTCTTTCATTTAAAACAAAAGTATCACATTCTAAGCTTTGTCAGAGTTATACCAGAGGTTCTGCTTTTAAACTAATAATGATTGTCTATATATTTTGGCTATAGCACATTTATGCAACAAATCTATGCACACTTCCACAACATTTGATTTCTAAACTCAATGGCATATGCTTCTACATAGACATGTAGAGGATTTTACTGCTTTTTTAAAAAAAAAAATCTATGGTTTAGAGCTGCTTTCTATTGGACATTTTTTTTGAACCAATCTTCTCAATCTATTTCTCTTCAGATGGATTAAAACTCTCAGAATCCCCAACAATTGAAAATGCTGAATGGGAATTCCAGGAGTTGCAAATGTCCCCAGAGGGAAAGGTGGGCTTAGATTCTTTGAGGTCGAATTAAAAAAAAGATTCCTTTTACCTTTGTGCTTGCTCTTGCCACATCTGTTATATAGGAAGTACCCTGATGGAGGTACTATTCTCTGGCATTTTTTTTTAAAAGGCACAGAATTTATTTTTATAAAGGGAGAGACAAGAAATCCACAGCTAGTACCAACATCAGCCATTCGGATTTATTTATTTATTTACTGGGACTTAGATGTTTCTCCAATCTAAACAGGGCTCAGTGGCATACATTCTTCAAAAGAAAATTAAAATAATATCAGTGCAATAAAAAGCAAACAAGCCTAGCACCCAAAATGCAATAACAGCAAACAGGAGGCTCTCTTTATAAGAAATCTGCTCCAAAGTTATTTGGAAATAGCCTTATTTAACATCTCTCCAGCATTCACCCCTTCATTGTCTATTCTATCAAACAATGTGGGAGTTAATACATTATATGATATAAACATAAAATGAATCCCTTTTTATTCACAGGAAAAAAACTAACTGATCAGGACTCTGGCAGTACCATTAACGTCTAGATTTGTTTAATTTTGTCTTCTGTTTGATATATGAAAAAGACAAAATGTTTGCTGGAAACTGATAGACCAGTGTGTGGTTTCCCCTGGTGAAGAGCTTAGCAAATAGTGTCTTTCTTCCATTGACATTAGTTAAATAGCATTTAATTTCACTATTTAAAGAAAAAACATTATTTAGATTTTAATGTAAAATCATCTTGTTCATCAGTTCTGTTTACCAATTTTGATTGCATATCAACTTTTGATCAAACGTTACTTCAAAGTTTTGTAATATTCAGTGGTGGCTTAATGAGGGACTAGATAATCATCCCAGAGTTATTTTAATTTTAGATTTGCAAGATAATTAAAAGGTCAGGTTTTTTGTTTTAAAAAGCAAATTACATCTGTCACAGGCCTGTCATTTTTTTACATGCAGAGGAGCATTAATTCAACACAAAGTGTGGACAATGTATATGGAATGCAGATTTCACTTTAAAACAGTACTCTAATGTTATTTATTCTGGAGGTCCAAATAGGAAAGGACATATGGACGACATGCACAAATATCTTTTAGTTCTTAAACCTTGATCCTATTAAATGGATTGGACACAGACCTTCAACACAGACGTGGATCTCCTGCCATGGGCTACATGGCCTTCAAATTCATCTATAAGATTTGATGTAGCCTAAGAAACTCCTTAAGGTCCTGTTATTGGTACTGTTGTAAAATGACAAAAAGCCATAAACCTACAGAAGACACTCAATCATTCCTGCACACATTGTTTACCTGTGTGTTTTTGCTTTGGTGGAAAGTAACACTTCCTCATAGAACCGGTACTCAAGTGTTCAGAGCTGAAGCAGGAACTGCTCTTTTCAAAGAAACAAGTTTTAATCCTGACTCAGCTTGATGAAAAAGATCAGCTGCATCCTCAGGATCCAGTGCTTTTGTCAAAAAGTACAAAATAGCATTGTACTTCCACAAAGCAAGTTTATCTCTTTCATAGGTCACCTGCAGATACTATCACAATGCATAGAAAACGGAGTGGGGAGCTTATGTCTCTCCGATACAATGCATTTTCTTCCTCTTGATTTCCTGTGGACACTTCTGGAAGATGCATTACTTCTAGACTTGATATTATATTGAGAGTTGCCCTGCATATGACTCAGAACAGATTCTTTCATATGGAGTTTCCTACAGTCTACTGTGATACAGTGAATGGTAACCTTAGATTAATTCCAACTCTTTCTTCAGGCAGACCTCTATATCAAAAGGCATTGAAGACTGCTGTGTAAACAAACCCCCTTTCATGCCCATCTGAGCACGCTAGATAAAAAAAACAGCAACTTTGGATTTCCATTTGTAACCGGACAATGTTGAAAAAAATATTGGTTCTCATTGATATTATTCCAAAGGCCACTATTCAGTAAAAACAACAACAATTGTTTATACAGGATGTTTATGAAGTAAATTACAGAGGAAGCAATAACGTACATTATGATACTATACAAAAGAGTTATTTGTTTTATTTTCTTCTAGAAGTACTGCTTTTCCTCTTCCTGTTAAGAAGGGCACTTCTGACTTTCATATACTTAGGCACTAAACAGTGCAACTTTGTGCATGTCTCTCGATCAAATTTGGCAGAATGCACAAACCATAATGCCATTCTAGTTTTCTGCATGTTAAAATATTACCATAGGGGTAGAATTTTATTAGATGCATGTTTCTGAGGAAGAAACAAAGGATTGTTGTACCTGACAAGGCTTTGAAGTGTAAGAGTATCATCAGTGCTGTCTTCTTTACAAAGCCACCTGGGAAAAGGTTGTTTATTTGCTAGAATTGTGATGGATAGTGAGTATAACTTAGTGCAAAGTTGGGCAACCAGGGGCCACTTTTTTGTAGTGTACAAAATCTCGTTTTATGTCTGAGTGATATAATTTCTTGTCATTTGGAGATGAGTAATTAAGAAACATCCATGTAAGAACTCTAGCGCTGCCCCATGCGTATCATGCAGCTCAACCTGCTCTGCATCATTGTCTGTTCCATTGCAGCTCTTCCCCAAAAATATTTTATGCGGCTCCAAGCACCAAGTTTCCTCACATGTGCAAAACAGGATCTATGGAGTGAGTGGGATTTCCAAAAGAAGTAGATAGAAAAAAAGACTAGATTAAAGACTGGCTTCAGTAGGGAGGAAAAAAAGTGTGCAATAATATTTATTCATAGTGTGAAAAAGTAGGATGTAAAATAAGAAAGACTTTCTATAACCTACAGCTGATGACCTTCCTAGAATTAGGATATTTTTCCAGCCACACTCTTAGTTCTTGAATCAGTGAATGCATTAGTCTTATTTCTTTTTATGAGCCTAATCAATTCACAGCAGGGGCTGCAGCGGCAGAATGACATTTTTGCTAAATATGCATGCTGTTTTTGTTGTCAGAAGAAAGGAGATAACTTTGCTAAGAGATCTTGCAGAACTGAGCCTCATGGAGCTGAGTATAAATGGTCTGAACAACCTTGTCCTATTCAAATGCTCTAGGAATATAAAAATGGAATCAGTACATGGCGAAAAGACCAAAAGAGCTAGCTCTTTCATTATCCAAGTAATAACTGTACCTTCCCTAGAATAAATTCAAATACTCTTTTCTCTTTATAGTATCTTGCAGCAATAACATGCAATACAGTAATATAAAAATAAAATACCTTTGCTTAAGATTCAAGCCAGTGAAATACGTAGGTGAAAAGATCCATAGTTCAAATTTCAGTACTCACTTTTATTACCAGGTCAATTTAGAAAATAGTTTTTAAGGGTGTTTCCTAGATCAAATAGTGTAGAAAAAACTGACAATGTTTTTCATTGGCCCATTAGATGCTATACTTTAAAAGCATAGAAGAACAATCATTTTCTCTCTCCTGTGAAGATTTCTTCCTTGGGACTATTTGAGGGTAGATTCATCAAACTGAAATTTTAAACAAAAAATGCCTTTCTAGGTGAAGCAAATGCACTTTGCTAATACAGAGTTGTCCAGCAAACCTCAAGTAAGAATAATAATCAGCAGACATAGAAGAATTAGTGATCAACTTGCTCTCGATTGGAAACTGGTAATTTTATTCTTCCTGGATAGCTAACAGTAGAGAGAGGGTTTATTGCCTATTATGGTGCTTTGAAGGTAGGGAAATAGTTTAGCTGAATGATTTATGTAAAACATCCAAGAATACGATCTGGTTTCCATATTTCCATCTTTTACTGTTGGGTTGAATGCATGGCCTATGGTAAAGTTGTTACTAGAAAATAACTTGTAACATTGGAAGATATTTTAACTTCCTTGCTACCTTGAGGTAGCATGGCAGGATCTTACTAAGAGATAAGGTAAAGGTGAAAAAGTTAAAACTCTGGAAAACAGACCATAGAATGTCAGTGTCTCAAGAAAGCTTGCTGAGTCTGACATGGCAATGGAATCTGCATTATTTAGGCCAACTACATTAGAACTGTACGATTGCAGCTCTAATATATATCTGACAGAAAGAACTGCCTAACTAGCCTTCAAAAGGTAATAAAAATCCTAGCTCATCATTCTGCTGCAATCTAAATCATTTATAGACTGTAAAGTATGTGATAAATCTGTTGAAAAGGAAAAGGGGTGGCCAGGTTGAGAAAAGAGGATTGATTTATTAAGACTGAAATGGTGGCATTATCCAACTTCTTAGTATGTGGAAAGGGGAAAAAGATTGGAGGACCTCCATATACTTTATGAAGTCCCACCCACAGTGTTCATTTCTCATCACAGCAGGTCTGCTTTGATGCCATATTTTTAAGAAAATGGAACAGTGACAACATAACTTAGTACAGGTACAACCAACACAAGGATAGACAATGTTGAAATCAACTCCCACTTTATCCTGCATCACTAGTGGTAAGAGATTTCGGCAGCTGCAGTCCAGCATTATACATGCAAAGGCTCCACTCTATACCTGAAGGGCAACTGAGGCCAATTCAGAATAAAAGTCCACGAGAAGTGCCTCATCAGAAGTATCCTTTTTTATCACATAGATTATTTCTTTTTATATATATAAAATAATGTTGGATTTGAAGGATAAAACTGCTCAAGACATCTTGTTC